TTCCTGCTTTTCCATGGGTCAACTGAGTGTTATTCCCCGACCAGGTGACAGTTTCTGAGCACACAGCTTTGCTCAGTCACCAGAAAGACAACATCATTTCTTTGTAACTGCACAGCCTGCTATGCTCGATACATAGCAAAATGTGACCTCCAGAGACATTTTTAGCTCTAATCAACCCCTGGAATGAGAAACTTCATTGAGGTCTTAAACTCCAAGCTTTCTGTCTAACACAAGAAGAGGCACTGCTAAGCCACAAAATTTAATAACCTGAAAGCCTGTGGCAAAAATACAAAAAAGGAAATGAGTTAATGCTGCATGTGTATATCGGGCAGGAATACTTCGCAACACCGAAACACCTCGTTTTACATCTGCACTTGTGAGATGCTTCCAAAAGGTCCTCATACTGCTCCTCCCTAAATCAAAGACGCCAGCCCTTAACGACCAAAAGCCTGATTATCACATGGATGTTTTCTGAAGGGATGTTCACAGGGCAAATGCAAAGGAAGCTCAGCATGGGGAAACCCAGATCCATGGCAGCGCAACCCAGTTGATCTGTGCCAGGCACCGGCTCCCTTCTCCACTCTGCAAATATCTGCCTCCTATTAAGGAGAGGTAAGGAATTTTGCTGATGTCAGCAAAGACTCCTGCAAATTAAAGGTCTTACTGAACTTCAGGGATCAATGACAATATATCCAATATCACACAAATGAGGGGTGATATTAAAGGCTTTATTTTGGTGCTGCAGCTACAGTAAAATCATTGCGGGAGGTGTACTTAGCTGCCTTCTCCTGATAGAAAAAGCTAAATCCCAAAACAGAATTTCCAAGCCACTTTTCACACCCCCCCCCTAGTGCCCTCAGTTTTCACCATAGGCTTGAATTCTCTGGAATCATATCTTAATATAAAACTTGGATAATCAAAATAAACAAACCTCATTATACGTTCTTCCTCTCAACCTGATTTGTGCCCTCTCACAGCATGTACTTCCATCACCACACCACAGCTAGACAGCATAGGGAAATAAAACTTCCCCACTAAACACAAACTTGCCACATAATTGTTAAAATCACCAAGCAGCATATAATAAACAGAAGGCGCATTGTTAAAAATTATATGATAGCAGACTTGACAAGTACCCCATGTAATGCAGTCATTCTTGATTCACTATGAAGGGAAAAATAAATATTAGTTTTCTAAAACAAAGGATTCCCTTCGATAAGTCCAGTGCTTTAAATTTGAAGGCCGAGTGCTCAGTCTGCAGCAGAGAAGTACATCCAAACTTGCTGTGTAAAATAATTTACCCTCCAAACTTGCTTACTTAAGCTTGTCTGCACTCTTCATGTTGAGAAACAAAGTGAATTGGGCTCCTACTTAATGTGAAATATTAACGCACTTCCAGGGCAATTAATCAAAATGAAATTTAACAAGCTTTACAGTTCTGCTCCAACAACAAAACCTAAAATTTTCTTTTCTATCTACATTAGTGATTTCCTACCACTTTGTCTTTCAAGCCTTGGAGTAGTTCCACAAATTCTCTGTATTAGGATTTGTTACTTGGGATTCCAACTGTACAATTACATCTTCAAAGTCCATCTTCGTGTACAATTTAACCATTAAAATATTTTTCTGTCATTAAAATGATGAAAAGCTCAAACATGAGAATTCTTGCTTAACAATGAATATTAAAGAAAATACCATGCATTCATTTCAGTGCATATCCCTTACACTAGTAAGCCATTAGCCAGTCAGAGTTCAGATGCACTGTCATGATCTCTTAATTAAATTCTTCTTTTTAATGTCAGGGCATTACTACTGATTTTGAAGGAGAGGAAAGAAAGGCAGCAGTGCTCTCTGCTTATTAGAGGGTTCCTGGTACATACTGTTTCAATTTATGTCCTGCTCACAATGAACAGAGCTTGAAAATGCTGCTCAATTAGGTTTTAAAAATTCAATTTAAAATTAATGTGGAGTTATACTAATAGGTAATGGCTGTACCCTGTGCGATCCTTGGTTCCTCCAGTCCCTTGCTGTCTGATTTGATAACCCTGAATTGCTCATTTAGAAGAGGTCACCATCAGGCAATTCTCTTCCTCTTGTGAAAATAACTGTAAGTTTCACAAAGCACTATGCTCTATAAACACTTGATTAAAAGAAATATAAGCATGTGGAAAAACCTCCTTAATTCTAGCATTTCAGACATTTAAAATTATAACCTTAAATAAGTCTCTATGACTTCAGAGTTATTTTTAATTTGATAGGAACATGATTTTACTAATTTTTTTCTCCAGGCAATGAAATGAGATCATCTATATCTTAAACAAAGTCAACAGTCAAGTCTATGCAGCATACAAAAAAAAAACATAGGCAAATTAACCATTAGCCTCAAATTTCTCTTTTCTGTCTCATGAAAAAAAAATCAAGTATTTAACAAACACCAAAAAAAAAATAAATTAGTGGATATTCCAGAATCTGAACAGAACCAGAAGGATCTAACCCCCAGTATCTTATTTAGTTGGTAGAATTTAAGTACATTTCTCATTTCTAATACAAATTTTAAAAATTCTCTGCAATTTGTTTCCCAGTTTTTCCGGTTGAGAAGTGGTGGAGTTTGCTTTCATGTTTAGACAGCAATAAGATGCCAAAAGTTTCTGGGGTGATGTACCCTCTGAATTTTCCTAAACTCTTTTCTTTCATACTGGTGATTTTTATCAGCCTGGACAGTTCAACCTAACACATTCTCATCCCTTTCTTAATGTAAACACCTCAAAGTAAGTCCACCCCACTGCTAATAATAAGTCAACTCTGGTTGCCTTCTCAAGCTCTCGGCTGGATGCCGGGATGCCCTCAGAGATCAGATGTCAACACTTTGGTTGCAGTGACACCCGAGTCACTCTGGCAGCAGCATCCACTTCAGCCAGCCCCTTACTTGCTCCCCCCGTGCAGAAAACTGACCTGGAGTAAAAAAAATCTTCCTGGAAAATATACTCCTCCCCATATATCATCATCACCAAACGGATTAGCTCATAATCAGATTCACTGTGTGACCACAGGGAGCGGAGGAGAGGGCAGGATCCACACAGGGAGCAGAGCAACTCAGTCCCCAAAGGTGCAATCAAAACTTCCCCAGGTAGCAAAAGGGTTGTAAGGATGACCCCAGCAGCCCAGGGCATTACACCTCTGCTGCCCCAAGGAAAAAGGAGTTTGCAGGTAACATGTTCCAAAACATTCCTGGTTTTACTCATTGTGCAAATGGAGGAATGTCGGGTTTTTGCAAGAGGGAAACGGGCTGAATGTGGATAACCTGAATGCCAGCAATAATGCACAATATCTGCTGAAATACTGTTTTTTAAAATAAAACACCATGAGGAGAATAAACAGCACAAATAACTATACTTTTTATATTATACTTACCTTTAGCTGTCTAGCACTTTTTGGCACACACAGCATATGCTTTCACAGCACTTAAGACACAATTTCTAAAGCAAGAAAAATCTACCTTCCCCCCCCCAAAAAATACTTTTCTTTTTATTTTACTCTATTTTTTTACACAACTGTCTTGATATATATTCTTGGGACATTTAACTTGCTAAACCTACTAGAAACATAATAAAGCATGACACCATTTCATCTTGAGAAATGAGAAATAAAATTTTAATTTTTTCCCCATCCAAAAAAGGGTGAATGACTGAACAAGTGAGATTTTTT